GCTGTATGTAAGTACCACACACATTGAAGGGCTTAATTTAATAATTTTAAGTTGTACTTGTGCTGGGAACATTATCTGAAAATTTCAGCTCCCAGCCTTCCTGGTCCGCGAGTCAGTTGTTTTCGCGCCAAAAACTTTCACAGGGCGGTACGTGAGAACCACGCATGCTCGGGAACTGAGTTTGACAAACTTAAGCTGAACATGTACTTGGAACATTCCCTGAAGATTTCAGCTCCCCGGCTTTCCTGATTCCCGAGTTAGCCATTTTCCCACCAGAAATTTTCAAGGAGCCTTACGTGAGAACCACACTGAGAGACTGATTTTAGTAGTTGTATGCTTGTGCTAGAAACGTTCTCTGAAAACTTCAGCCCCCCAGCTTTCCTGGTTTCGAAGTTAGCGATTTTGGCGCCAAGAACCCTCACGGAGCCATACGTGGGAACCACGCACACCTGGGGGCTGAATTTGAAATCTTAGAGTTCTATGCGGACAGGGAACATAACCTCAAAATTTCAGCTTTCTGGCTTTTCTGGTTCCTGAGTTAGCGATTCTTCCACTAAAACTTTCACCCTCTCGTACGTGGGGTCCAGACTTGCGTGAGGGTTGATATCGCGGTCCTGGGGTGGCAATTGGCCGGGGAAGCCACTGGCAAAATTTTGGCGCCGGAGCTTGCTTGGGTGACGAGTTGAAATATCCGGACAGACACACACACACACACGCATATACACATAAACAAACACACACATTCATACACGGGGGTCGTCACAGTATGCGGTTTTGCGTTTGCATATAAGCAAAAACGCATAAAAATGCGAGAGAACTGCGATAGCCCTAAAATAGTATAGCTTGAGAAGTGTATGACTTGTAATCACTGGTGTTATGAAAATCAATAGAGTAAGTTTAGGACCAAAGTCAATAGAGTAAGTTTAGAGCCTTATCATTCACGTAATCGATGTATTTTCCTTGCTCAATGCAATCATTTATTGAATGCTGAAAGAATTCAACCGTGCTTCAGAGCTGCTCAAAGAGAAAGGCGCGATCAACGGGAAAGGAGGATGAACGGACCGATATCTATTCGATGGATGATCTCGTACATCAGAGGCTCCGAGTGATTGATCAGCCAGTGCGTGCTTTCCAGTTCCAGGGTAATTTCCTCATTTATATGCTTTTGTTAACGAATGTAGCATTTTCACACGGCTGAAACAAATTACCACGTTCCATTTTTTTTCCCCAGTTTGTGGAGTGCGATTGTCCCCATTCAACGAATGGTTCTTATGGCTTCTTATCGTCCGACCAGTTCTCGCAGTTACGCAGCGGAACCTTCGATCAGCTGTCACATGATAGAGCACCCAGTACTCAGCAGCAATGTCCGTCACTGAATAGCTTGAAAACTATTCGAACGATTGTTTGCAAAAAACTGATTATGCGATTGCTTTCAGAATCGGAAGTGAGGCAGTCTGCAGCTCCAGTCGAAGTATGTGTGGATAAGAATG